GGTTCAAATCTCGATGTTACGGGCTCGAAATGACGCGCGCAATGTGTGCTGTCCGTCACACATTGGTACAAAGTCGACTGGCCGGAGTCATCGTCGAGAACGACGAGTATTCCTGGGGTAAGTCATCTCAATTACTCCCCATCCGAAAATGACTTCGCGTTTCACCAATTCCGCGTCGATTTGATTAGTAGCGGGCTCAAATTCAAGGTATGGTTCTGGCCTACTGTCCGCGTGAAAGGTTTGGGTCGAATTGTCCGTGCCGTCAAGGAGATCGGGGTGAAACCTCCCGGTGAGTGGCCCACCCAATACTCCCCATCCGAAAATCTTCTCGCGTTTCACCAGTTCCGCGTCGATTCGATTAGTAGCGGGCTCAAATTAAAGGTAGGTCCCTAGGCTCCGATACCCGCGAAAGATCTTGGTCCAAACGTCCACGCCATCGCGGATATTCGGTCATAACATGCCGGTGAGTGGCCCACCCAATACTTCCTATCGCAAAATCATTTCGCGATTCACCAATTCCGCATCGATTCGGGTCATAGCTGTCTCGAATTCAAGGTATAGTGCTGCACTACCATCCGCGTCAAAGCTTTGAGTCGAATCGTCCACGCCATCACGGATATTGGGTTATAACATGCCGGTGAGTGGCCCACCCAACACTCCCTATCGCAAAATCACTTCGCGTTTCACCAATTCCGCGTCGATTCGGGTCGTAGCGGGCTCTAATTCAAGGCATGATGTTGCAATACCATCCGCGTTAAAGGTTTGGGTCGAATCGCCCATGCCGTCAAGGAGATTGCGTGAGTCCTCCCGGTGAGTGGCCCCCACCCAATACTCCCTGACGGAAAATTGTCTCGCGTTCCACCAATTTTGTCTCGATTCGAATGGTAGCGGACTCGAATCAACAGTGCGATGATAGGCTTTAATCTCCGCCAAATGTTTGCATCTAGACATCCGCGCCATCGTAGAGATTCACGGGACCTTTGCCGGTGAGTGGCCACCCATCACCCCTGCCTAAACTCGTTTCGCATTCCATCGATGTCGCGTCGATTCGGGTCGTAGCGGGCTCAACTTAAAGGTAGGATCCTAGGCTCCAATCCCCGTAAAAGACATGGGCTCAAATGTCCACGCCATCATGGCTGTTCGGTCAAAAAATCTCGGTAAGTGGCTGCACCCCGGATTGCCCCAGTCGGATCGTCTTCTCGCATTTCACCAATTCTACCTCGATTCAAATTGTAGTGGGCCCGAATCAATGGTACGATCCTACGTACCAATTGCCACCAAAGGTTCGCATCGAAACGTTAGTGACAAGTGGGTCATGGAAGACTGCTCTTCCTACCCTTTTTCGATTACTACCATGGTGCGCCTTTTTTATTCGAGGTTTTCACTTTCTTTTTCGGTGGAAGGCACTCCTTACACTCCATTCCGAGTGTCTCTGTTCAGTTTGGGGCTTCCGGACGCATTTCGCGTCCGGAATTCGAGTTTTTGGGTGGTTGACTTCACCCACTTACCTCTTCGCCCCTCCCCCCGATTTTTTTCTTTCCACGTGCGGTTGTTTTTGCCTTGGGCCACTCTTCATACACAGGGCATCCCGTCGACCCCTTATTGACGTTGGTGGGCACGGTATTGCGCTCACAATACCGGTTTCTATCTTGAGGACGGTCTCTGCACAGCCACCGACAGTTCAAATCGGCGCCGATTTGAGATTCCCACGGTCTCAAGGCCCAGCGACCATGGTGCGCCTTTCTATCTTCCTTTTCTTTTCTCTGGCTCCTTTTTGTGTTTGAAGGCACTCAATACACTCCGTAGAACGTGTCTACATCTTGTTTGGGGCCGGTGCGCCCTCTCAGGGTGAAGATATCGACTGTTAGGCCGGTAGGCCACCCCCCACCTCTAAGTGTCGCGCGATTGTGAATTCAAGGTTCACTGGCCGGTTTTTTTTGCTGGATGTGACTCACCCAATCGATACAGCACTGTAGCTGTCATCGCGTCGCCATTTGAAGCCATAGAGCGCTCGGAATTGCGTTTTCTGGGGGGTAAGTCACCCCTTATAGCCGTTTTCACCAAAACTTTAGTGTAACTCACTCATTTTTGGTGCGATTATCTTTGTTTTAGTCTCAAAAGAATTCTATGCACGTCCTATAACATTGCCGACCAATGCGTCGACGACACCCGGTCCCCCTCCGTCACGAGCGATGTTTGTGGGGTACCTGGAGAGGCATGGTGCGCCTCCGACCATGGTGCGCTTTTTTTTCTCTTTCCTTTTGATCTCTTCCTTTTTGGCTTTGACACACTTGTTGCACTCCATAGAGTTTGTCTGCAACAAGTTTGGGGTCCGCGCGGCCTTTTCTCATTGAGATTTCGACTTTTTGTCTAGGAGGTGTTCCCCATCCCCCAAGTACCGCGCACTCGGAAATTTAACCTCCAAGGTACAGTTCTCTGTGTCATTTCTCATTCTACTAACTGATGAGACCCTGTAGATATCGTAACGGCGTCGGACAGAGCAATACCGCTCTCGCCATGGCCGTTTCTGGTGGTGAGTGACCCCCAGACCCAGAATTTACCGAAACTCGATCAATTTTCGTTCAATCCTGTTCGCTATAGGCTCGAAAGTTTCGCTTAAATGTGCCTTACCATCTCCAACAAACGCCTCGCCGATATCTGAGCGTTCGCCGTGGAAATCGCCGATCCGGGGTCAGAAGGGGGCATGGTGCGCCTCCGACCATGGTGCGCTTTTTTTTACCTTTCCTTTTGCTCTCTTCTTTTTTCGCGTTGAGGCACTCGTTGAACTCCATAGATCGTATCTGCAACAAATTTGGGGTCCGCGCGGTCCTTATTGTGACGAATTTCGACTTTTTGTCTGGGGGGGGGCTCCCTTCCCCCCCAAAGACCGCGAACTCCGAACTTTGACGTTTACGGTACGGTTTTTGGCGTTGTTTCTCATTCAATGAGCTAACTAGACCTCGTAGATGTGCTGACATTGTCGGGCAGAGCAATACCGGGCTCGCCATCGCCATTTCTGGTGGCGAGT